ACATTCCACCAGACCCTGGGTACTGGAAGGAGAAAATGAAAATGGAAACGGTGGCTTTTAGAAGTATGTTTTATTCAAAAGAAATACGTCTAAGAACCTCATTTTAAATAAGAATGCGTTCAACTACACCAGAATCAGTAACTCTAGGAGTAAAAAGATGCTCTTCTGATGAAGTGGATGAAAGGTGCTTTCCTCAAATGCTATATGGAAACATCAGCCTGGCATACAGAGAAGAGGGCTTCTGCTGCCCTGGCCTCTGCTGAAAGTCTCCTCCTCCGCAGGGCGCTAGGAGACAGGGCCAAGACCGTAGCAAAGGTTTCCGAGCTGCAAGGTAAAGACAGCACCTCACTGACTCTCAGCCCTTACTGTGCAGCAAAATCATCTGGGAAACTTTTTTTCAAAACAATGTTCCTCATTGTTATATAACTTATGTAAATCAAACATACAGATATTAAATGTACAACATGTAAGATCCTATTTTCAAAATGAGTTTTGACAAGTGCTTATGCTTTGGGACCCAGGCCACTCTCAGGATACAGACATATCTGTCATTCCGGAAAGTTCTTTCCTGAGTGCCCTAGTCACTCACAGATGCCCCTACCTTGCAGGCAACTGTGTTGATTCCTTCCTCCATATTTTATTTGCCTGTTCTAGAACTATATATGAGTACAATCACACAGTGGGCACTTTTTCATGTGTGATCTCACACTCAGTTTCATGTTCTTAAGATTCATCCATGTTGTTGTATGAACCAATTGCTCATTCCTTTCTATTATGGAAGTGAATTTTATTGCATGGATATACTATAATTTATGTATCCATTCTATAATTAAGGGACATTTGTAGTTTCCAGTTAGGGGCTGTTATTACCAAAGCTGTAAGCCTTTTGGTATACGTCTATTTTCATTTCTCTTCAGAAAAACCTAGAAGTAGGGTTTTTGTTCACTGGTAGGTCTGTTTTACTTCACATGAAACTGCCAGACCAACTTCCAAACTGGTTGCACCATTTTATGTTCCTACTAGAATTGAATGGGAATCCTTTCCAACATTGATGATGGTCGTCTTTAAATTTTAGTCATTTTAGCAGGTATTTCAATTTGGTTTTAATTTTTATTCCCTTAATGACTAAGGGTCTTACTTTTTCATGTGCTTATTGGCCATTTACCTTTATTCTTTGTGAAGTGCTTAGTTTTATTCCTGAGTTTATCCTGACTTTGATATATGTGTGGTAAATAATTCTCCCCAGTCCGTGAGTGATTTGTTTCTTCTTTTTCTTACCAGTAGCTTTTAAGGAGCAGAAGTATTTAGTTTGGGCTGGTGGTGTAGCTCTGAGCTTGTCTTGGCATGCATGAGGCTGTGGGTTTAGTCCCTAGGATCAATTTTTTAAAATAATAGTTTTTAATTTTGATGACATCCATTTAGTACTTTTTGGTTGCCCCAATTATCCTAATGCACAGCTGAAAGACCCTACATGAAAAGGAAATAGGAGTTGAAAATTAGAGGGCACTAGACAATGGAAGTCTGCAAATATAGTAAGGCAAAATCCAAATGCACACAGGAAAGTACTTAAAAGCCCTCTGTGTCCATGAGGGGACATTTCAATGCATAGGTAGAGTCCAGGGGATGGAAGCTGCGAGCGTAGTGATTCTGAAATCAGACTGGTCATCTGAAACACAGAAAAGCTTTTCAGAATGCAGAATTCATGGCCACACACAGTCCCAAGGAATCAGAATGGGTGTGGGGCAAGAATGCATTTTAGGGAAGTTCCCCCAAGGGATTCTACTGGGAGTACTTTGGGCTTGGAAGGCTTGGAAGCCACTGGGTCGTGACCTCTTTTTTTCCTTGGGTTTAAGAGTCTATGCTGAGCTCAGTTTTGAAAAAGAAGCTGGTGTCAACTAGGGCTAGAGAAGGGGGAAGGGTGTGGGCAGTAGGGCCCCCATGCCTCTGTGGGGTACCTCTGTGGACCCCTGGGACCCTGCTGTGCTCTGGCAAAGCAACCCTTGACTATATCAGTTTTCTGCAAACAACCAGAACACGTTTCCCTTGAGAACTGAAGTCACACACCATGTGTCCCCAATAGAAGTGTATGACTTATTCTGTTTTTCCATAAGCTTGGTCTTAGTCAAGGCTGGAGACAGAAGCAGATGTCAAGATGTTTCAGCCAGGGAAGGGAACAGAGGAGGGATGCAGCCTTTGTTACTTTTTAATTGGAAGATGTAATTTCAGGCAGTAAGACATTTTTAAAATTTCATTAATTGTTTGTTGCTGTCACTGATAAGAAGGTGAACAGGCAGGCAGGAGACTTAAAGTGAGCCATCTTTAAAAATTAAGGACGAGTTGTTCCTGGGAAGGGGATCCGAAGTAAAGTACGAGTTATGATGACAAGCACTGGCCTAGTCCTCTTCATCAAGGAAGCACTGCCAGTCACAAGGTGACAGTGGCTTCTCAGAGCAGCATTTCCCAACCTTTGTGCAGAAAAGAACACATAAGGAAGCTGAGAATACAAACCAAATCGGTGTAGCCAGATAAACAGGTCTCGTGCATATTTTTTACTGTTTGTGAAATTTATGTGGTCGCTACTGAAATTAATGAGATACACACTTACCCGAAGGCATCACTGAGTCCACAGCAGTTTTCATAGCTACCAACTGTCCCAACCAATGGGTACCAAAGTACATGTTCTATCGCCTGGCATTCATAAAGCTCTTGCTGCTAGAAAGAGTGAGAGCTGAGCGCAACCGCTTAGGAAGGGCCTCTTTGCATTTATTTTCCTCCCGTGCACTCTACAAATAGCTTTCCCTTCATTGCTGTTGAGCTGGCTCTCAGGAGTAGACAGGAAATGAGACAGGAGGCAGACAGAGGCTGGAGGAGAAGAACAAGGAGTTAGCTGGTGAGGGGGAGCTCCTTCTCACCAACTGAAGACCCCCATCCCTTTTTCCGGCACACAGAGCTCTCTAAGGCTTCCGACATAAGTGAAATAAAGTTTAGTTTATTTAGAAAACAAACCAAAGGCAAAAAATCCTTTGCTATTTGAAAAAGCTGAAGAATTACTGGGAGGAGCCATTGCCTGAATTATTCATTGCTTCAAAAAGTAATTATTGATTTCCTACGATGCGGTTTACAAAACATCAGGGGATGCCACCAGCAAAGGAATGGGGAAGGGATGTTATATCCACCAAAAAGTTAGACACTGTCACTTATTGGCCTATGTTAACTTAGAGCATATACAATTTATAAACCTATTTCAAATGATGAATTCGGCACTGGCAAGTACTGAAAATGACACACACACACCCTGCTAGTCACTGGGGAAATTGGTACAGTCCTCTACAGAGCAATTTGACAGTGCACTTAAGAGTCCTAAAACATTCATGCCCTTGACCTGGCAACTTATGGGAATTTTATTTTAAACAAATAAGTCAAAGGAAGTTAGACACACAAATTAGTTACACACACAAATGTTTTCACTGGGTGCAGTTTGTAATACTGAAACCCTGGAAGCAATCAAAAGGCTTAACAACAGAGGAATATTAAAGGAAATTATAGTAAGGCTATTCAATGAAATATTATGCAGCCATTAAAACATCCATAATGAACCACAGATGCATAGCAAATGCAGAATACAAAGTACTGAATGAAAAAAATGCAGAGTATAAAATCATATCTATGCCATAATGGTCACGGGATACAAATGTATTACACAAATTACCTATGAATAAGGACTGAACAAAACATGGAGCAATCCCTTATTTGTTACTAAAGCTTGTAGGTGAATTTTACCTGCTTTTATCTCCAGTATGTTTACATCATTTATAAAGCTTGGTACACAGAAGAAAGTCTGACCCTGAGTCCAGAAAGGATTGATGGGATAATCACTAACTCTCCATGAAACGTGTCCTTCCCTGCGTTATGAAGTTGTCTGTCAACCTACCCTCCATTGGAGGGACGGAATTGAACTTAAGGTACGATAGCTCGAGGAATTCCACACAAATAGGGCATGGTGTCTCTTTTCCAGCCTAGAGGAGGTGCAAAGAGATGTTGGTGTCAAAACAGTGCCTGAAGGATGTGGTAGTCACTTTCTCGTTGCTGAGACAAAATACCTGACCCCCAAAGTTAAAGGGGGAAAGGTTTATTTAGCTCAGTTTGTAGAGGTTTCAGTGCATAATCTGCTGGCTCCAAGGCAGGGTGGCACACGGCAGAGGGGCAACAGTTCATGGTGGTGGAAGACAGCAAAAGCAACCATGGACCTTAACAGCATCTTTCTGGCCCTTTTGTCTTATCCAGACTACTGGGGATAAGGCCGGTGCCAAACCACTCAGTGGACTGATTTAGTAACACACACCCTCAATCCCAGCATCACACACTCTAGATCCAGCCACCTCTGAAAAAGCCCCACTTATGACTGCCTGAGGCTTTGGGGGCCCATCTAGACACAGACCATAACAAAGGGTTATGTGGTTTGCCCAAGATTACACAGCTAGTTAACAGTGGAGCTGGGGGCCGGGGATTTAGCTCAGTGGTTCCACCGCCTGTCTCACAAGCGGAAGGTCCCGAGTTCGATCTCTGGTACCCCCAAAAAACCAACCAAACAAACAAAAAACAGTGGGGCTGGTTTTCAAACCATGGCTGTCCAATTCTAAAAGCCCTCTCCTGGAATCTCCCCTCCACTCCCAGCAGGCCCAGGAGAAGATAAAGGGGCGAGTCGGTGCGCACAGAGCTCATGAGCTTGTTTGGCCCTGGAGGTTTTAAGCCAGGGTTCTGAAGCCTGGCTGCACATTTGAATCATCTGGGGTGGGTTTTAAACTTTGTGATGCCTGGGCCTCATGTGCAGACTGATTTCATTGATCGGAGGTAGAACTAAAACAAGGGTATGGCACCAGACACTTCCGGTGATTCTTTCTGCAGTCATCCCTGACAGCGACCAGCTTGGGCTCTTTGCATATCCAACCATTATCCCGTGAACCTTTCAGCTGGCCCAACAATTTGAGTTAGAACAACACTCACATTTTCCACTTTTTTATTGTGGTAAAATTCACATAAAATTGACTGGTTTAGCCACTTTAAAGTACACAATTCAGCAGTACAAAGTACATTCACACTATTCTGCAACCATCACCAATATCTAGTTCTAGAATGTGTTTATCATTCCAAAAGGAAAACCCCCAAATCAGTCATTCTGCATTCCTCTCCTGCCCCCAGTTCCTGGCAACCATTAATCTGCTTGTCTGTCTTTAAATTTGCCTATTCTGGACAAATCATACCAGATTCACATACTGTGGCTTCTTACATGTAGCATAAGGTTTTCAAGGTTCATCCAAGGTTCATTCATTATAGGTGTATCAGATTCCATCCCTTTTTATGGCTGAATAATATTCCATTGTGTGAATATAGCATAATTTTTTAACCCATTCATCAGTCCATGGGCATGTGGGTTGTTTCCATTTTTTGACTTCCATTACTCTTCCCTTAAATCTGAAGTTTCTTTTCAGAAAGACCTAGAGAGGGAAAGTTTTAGAAGTTAACAATGGGAGCCTGGAGTAGAGCTGTGCTTCTCTAAGTGTGATCCCCCTGGGCTCTTGTTAGCAATGCAAATTCTTCTGCCCAAACCCAGATCTGCTGAAGCAGAGATTATGGGGGTGGGGCCAGCAGTCGCCCAGGGGATTCAGGGCAGGCTCTAGTGTGAGAACCACTGATGTAGCTGACACCAGTCTGGGTTCCAACACAAGGCGTGTCTGCTGCCTACCCTGAGATCACAACTTCCCACACTGCAGACAAAGCACTTCCAGGTCAGGGTGGCCGCTGGCCCTGGGCAGCCTCCTCCGTGGTTCCTAACAACTACAGTGTCATCTGTCGGGATCCAAGATGCTCATGCCACTGAGTCAGCTGATGCCTGAGACATAGTTGACAGGACACCTTCAAGTCATCATAGCTCCCTGTAACAAATACACACATGTTGTAAGAAAATAGACTTCATCTGAGGGCTGGATCCTAGCAGTTTGCAATCAACATGTTCACTACCACAAAACCACTGGCTCGAGCTCCTGGTCTGGTTTCTGCTCCTCCTTCTGGCCCGTGATGCTCCCTGCTCCTCCGACCTGCCCAGGACTCCTGCTCACCTCCAATCCTGTGGGCCACGGGTCGGGCCACCTTCATGCCTTTATTCAAGCTGTCTCTCCTCCCTGTGACCCGCCTACTTGCTCCCCACTCATCACCTCCCACCCTCGCCTCATACTCAGCCCATCCTCACCTCTCTGTGGAACCCAATGGGACTGCCCCAGCCAGCAGTCGCTGCTCCCCTTGCCCTTGTACACCAACGTACCCTACTCAATCATCCTGTTTACTATATTGTTATTTCATTCTTATTTTATAACAATGTAATTGCCAACTATTCTGTAGTTTCCAATAACTATGATGTAGTTGCAGAGGGAGGTGCTGCGTAAAACCACGGCTATGGCCGAGTCACACATTAGAACATACATGGTCATACAGAGAAGAAACATACCATGTGAGCTCTGGCAGGACCTGATGGAGAAAAGGCAAGTTCTGGGCAGGGCCTGGGAAATAAACAGAGAATGTGAGATGAGCTAAGCTCTGTTCTCTAGGAAAGGAAGTGCAATTTGGGGTTAGGGGAACTAGTTGGTTGAGATGACAACTCCTGAGGAAGAACAAAGCCCGAGATATGTGAAGCCAGGGACTTAAGGGAACACGGCTCTCAACTTGGGTAAGGGACCAGCCGCGTGGCTCTCCCTATGGCCTGCGCTATGCTGGGTTCTCTGCGTGAGCAAAGGCAAGCTGTCTACACAGTCTAAGGTATAAGGAATACAGGAATTGAGGGGGATGCGGGCAGGAAAAAGGGGGTCAGCCCCAAAATGTTGAGACCATGAGCCCTGACTCTACCAACTGATCTAGATCCGAAAGAAAGGGAAGAGCCCGAAGGCTGGCTGGCTCATCACCTGGTATCCAGCAGGGATTGGCTCCTGGACCCACAGGATATCAAGATCCGGGGACGCTCAAGTCCCTTACGTAAAATGACACAGTATTCGCATATAACCCATGCACATCTTAACATGTGTTTTCAATCATCTCTAGATCCCTTAAAATTCCAAACACAATGTAAATGCCACATAGTTTTTAAACTGTACTGTTTAGGGGATAAATGGTAAAGGAAAAAGGCTATCCATATACAGTACAAATGCAATATTTTCCCCAAATATTTTCATTGCACGGCTGACTGAATTCATGGATGTGAAAGCTATGAACACAGAGGGCTGTATGTATAACCGTGCAAGGTCTGCCAGGCAGAGGCAGCTTAATGCTGTATTTGGCCCTTCTAGAACATTCTGCTGGGATGGAAGTGTTTCTTGTCAGTGAGTTTAGAAGGGCCAACACTGAAACAGATGTGTGCTGAGTATCCTGTGAGTGTCATATATTCATTTGTAAAAAATAGCCAGAACAGGAACTTAACTGCCTTGACACTTTTGCAGACCAAAGTTATCGCAGCCTTGATATATGGAGAACTCCAGGTTTTCAATCACCCTTTCATCTGTGCGTTGGAGCACATTGGCGTTGACTCTCTGAGATGAATCTTGGCCCTGCTCCCCTATCTGCCCACCTCTTCTGAGGTGAGGTTCCTGGCTTGGGATCATACACTCAGTGACCTTGGGCAGCTCTCTTAACTTTTCTGGGCCTCAGTTTACTTATCTATAAACGAGCATAGCTGTACTGCCTATCTCACTGGAAGGTTACAAGACAAACAGGCAATACAAAGCTCGCATCAGTCCAGACTCCAGCCCGAGGGCTCTCAGTGGAATGGGTTTTATTGGCTTTCGCTTGGCTCGTGGCCCTTTGTCTCTCTTAAGGGACAGTCAGGGCACTTGTCATTGGGTTTATGGTAAAGAAGTTGTTGGGGACGCCATTTACAATACCACAATGTCCTTCTCAGAAGGGCTCCAGAGAGATGTCTGCCACCTTCACCTGGGCAGCTACCTGAGTGCAGCCCACTGTTTCCTCTCATAAATACATGAAGGATCTAACAATTGGGGTTTTCTTGTCGCACCAGCTCTGGGAAAGTTAGGATAACTTTATGGTAGGAATTTTTGTACTGGTTTCATTTCTGGGCTCCATTTTATCCTTCCCCTGTTTTCCTCTGTCTCTGCAGTCTAGACTCAGGCTAGGAATGTGACATGAACTTAGTAATGATCACTCCAATTCCACGAAGAAAACATCACTCCCACTGAGAGACAAAGAAATCTGGTTGCAAGAAGTTGATGGGACTCATCCTGGGAAGGGAAGCAGGAGAGCTGGGATTGAAGGCACGCTGTCATATCACTGATGTGCTCTCCTAGTATAAGAGTCATTACTGTGTACTGTCAAACATCCTTTGAGGAACAAGGCATGGTGTAAATAAATAAATGATGTCTCCCCTTGCCAGTTCTCTTAGGTATCTGGTGGCACTATGATTTTGGTGTCTGCTGCTTCATAACCCCTAGAGGGTCCCAGGACACCTTAATCAATGACCCTGGGATAAAGTGAGGAAGAGACCAGGGAACAGCAAAATCACAGTGAATTCTGCTTCTGGGGCCAAAAACAATTTCTTGGTCACCAGCTGCCTTTCTCCATCCCCTAACACATGCACGTACACAGGCAGGTACACATGCACGGATGCACACATGTACATCTCCCTCACTCCATCCAGGTCCAGAAGCAATGCTTGGACTATAGGGCTAAGTACCTTGCACACCATTCTGTGCCTGTGCAATGCCAGCAGCCACTCTAGGCTACTGATGTTATCATCCCATGCGGACCTCAGGCTGCTCCCTGGATGTGGAGATGTCCCTGGAGAAGGAAGCATGATATAGCAAATAAGACCCACCCCTGGAGTCTCCTGACTGCATTTGAATCCAGCCCTACTTCTTCTTCATTTGCCTCAGTCTTCTCATTTGTACAGTGGTGTCTTAGTCACTCTCTTACTTGCTAGGACAAATACCTGACACTCACAACTTAAAGGAAGAGAGATTTACTCTGGCTCATGGTCATAGGCCACGGTCAGCTGGGTCCAAGGCAGGAAGAGCATGGTAGATGGGTTTGGGCAGAGGAAAAGCTGCTCACGCCATGGTGGCCAGGAAGCAGAGGGAGGAGGAGGAGCCAAGGAAGGAGATGTACCCTTCCAGGTCACACCCCCAGTGACCTGCCTCCTGTGACCAGCCCACCTCCAACAGCACACTCAGCCAAGATTTACTGACCGATGAGCACAGTGCGCCACGGCCCGATCCAAACCATAGCAATGGGCTCAATGATAACACTAAACCTCCTCTTGGAGAGACAAGATAGTGTCTACTGAAGAGCACAGTGCTGAAGAATCTTAGCTGAATCCAGGCTCTCACATGCTGGCTCAGAGACCCCGAGTGAATTATTTGACCTCTGGGTCAGTTCTTCACCTGTAAATTGGAACAATGGAAGCTACTACTTCAAAGGAGTGCAAGGAATAAAATAAAGTCATGGGTATAAAATAATTTAGGGCCAGGGATTTAGCTCAGTGGTTCCACCACCTGCCTTGAAAGTGCAAGGACCCAAATTTGATCCCTGGTACCAAAAAAGTAAAAAATAAATAAAATAATTTAAATTATGCCTGGCACAGAGTAAGCACCATATTCAATGTTAACTATTACCATTATGATGATGATGATATGATAATTGTACATGCAAGGTGCTTGTGGTGACTGGCAATGGATGTGAGTTATTCTCTCCTTCCTGCAGGCAGCACTCTGGGGAACCTGGACATCTCCGGGTTGGTCCAGGGCAGGAACTCTGTGAGTACCTCTTTGCATAGAAAATCCAGCACAAATCCTCCCAGCCCTGCATCTTTGCCAAGCAAGGAGGAAGGGCAGGAGGAGGAAGAGAGAGCAAACCATCCCAAGTACAGCTAGGGAGGTGTCAGTTCAAGACCACCAGAACCACATCCTTTGAATTCCAAACTAAATGTACCTCAAGCTGAGCCCTAAGCTCTGTGGAGACAAACTAGCTCCAGGGCCTACTGACTGCTGATGTGGCTCTTATGTAAATCCATAGGAACCTCAGAAAACACTCCTTTTCCTCCTGCAGGCAGGCTGGGCTGGCTCTCTCAGGGAGGGGTGGCTGTGCTGCTCCTGCTGCTCCTCACTACACCTTTCCTACTCTTTGCCCTCCTGCTTGAGTTCTCCTATCATTGCATCTCCAGGCACTGAAAAGTGGCTTGGCAAATTAGAGATGAAGTCAGAAATAGAGGCAGGAACATTTATTAAGAAGAATTCCTAAAAAGAGAAAAAAAAAATCAGAGAAGTAGAAACAGGCAGAATAAGAAGAGTGTAAGGCTTCAGGTCAAGAAGTATGAGGCCAGGGATTTAGCTCAGTGGTTCCGCTGCTTGCCTCGCAAGTGCAAGGACCCCGAGTTTGATCCCCAGTACAAAAAAAAAAAAAAGTATGACAGAAACAAGAAACACTCAAGAAACAGGAACTCATAGTATGCTGGTTATTCACCTTTTATTTTTAAAGTTTAAAAAATTTTTAACTGATACAAAAAACCCCATAAAAGCTGTACATGTAATGTCTTGTTCAATGTGTATATGCATTGTGTAATATTTAAAGCAGGTTGAACATATTAAAATGCTTACCAATTGTCACTTAACCTTTATTAAATGCTCGCTGTGTATGTGCACCATCTCACTCTTTTTTTTTTTTTTTTTTGGTACCGGGGATCGAACTTGGGACCTTATGTTTTCGAGACAGGTGGCAGCGCCACTGAGCTCCATCCCCACCCCCCAACCCACTCTATGAAGAAAAGGTAGATACTACGTGATCCTGACCGATTCACAGATGGACAAACTAGTTTCGAGAGGCTGAGGTTTGCAGTCTTATTACTGTGCCCAGTGTGAATCAGGAAAGACTGGAGAAGATTCAGAAAAGAACCATAAAGATAAGGGAGGGGTCTAAAATTTAAGATGTGGTCCAGAATTTTAAGGAGTAGGGGGCTTTGAAATGACACCCACACCCCTCCCTATCATCCTGTCAGGTCTTGGTCGTGGCTAAGGAAACCAATCCCACTCTCCATACAAGGGGGCTGCTCAAGCATTCAGCCAATGAGCATCACCATTCCCCACACCCCCCACAATGATTGCCCCAGGTATGCAGTACTCGAACAGATTTGAGCCAATGAGATATGTTATATATTCTGAATTTTGTTTTTAAGAAACATCTCTTCCCTTCCATGGGAATTCCTCTAAAAGGTCCTCTGAGACTGAATTAGAAAGCATGTGGCTCTGAGTGGCAACAACTAGCCTTCAAATATATACTCTCCCTATCTTCTGGGAAGATACACACTGGGAATGAGAATAATTCAATTTCCAACTGGGAACATTTGAGCCCAACAAAAGATTCGAATCCCCACCCATCCTTACAACTATCCTGCGTGACTAAGTACTAGCCAATGAGTTGTAAGAAACAAGGATGTGTGGTACTTTCTGTGCATTTCCTCAACAGTGAGGAAGCAAGGCTTTCTTTGGACCTTTCCTCCTGCCCA